ATTTTCTATACACATTTGAACTTTTTTCAAATACATATTTTAAACATTTTTTATACGTGTTAAAAAACAATACATGTTGAATTTTCTTTAGTTCGCATGAAACATTTATATCAAACCACACAAACATTTTATTACATTCTATACACATTTTCTAAAAATTTCACCATCTGTTTCTGAAACATGAGAATATTCCTTTAAAATGTCACGTAAATGTCTTTGAATGTCACAAAACATTTATTTTACTATGCACACATTTCTAATATTGCATAAGCATTTTATAATTATGTCACATGTATATTTTAAAATGGAAACTTTATTTTTTTTCAAAATTTACGTACATTTTTTATGTTATGAAATATTTCTTGAATTATACAAACATTATTTTTACGTTGTATAAACATTTAACAAAAAAAAGAACATACATCTTTATAAACGTGAGAAATTTTTTAAATTGTCACTAACATTTTTTGGAATGCTATCATTACTTTTTGAAAGGTGCGCAAACATCTGTTACCACTGCTTAACATTTTTAGAATGTGTCATGAACATTGGTAAAAATTTAAAAAAATCATTTCCATCATGTGAAAAAAAAGTACTAAAAAGGAAAGAAAAAGATGTGTGCTAGGGAGCTAGTGATCATCCCACGCGCTAGGCTGGCCCATTTATGCAGTACTGCAAGCTACACTGTGCCTTGTGTCGACGTTGTGCCCATTTATGGAATCTTCTCAGCAGAAGCAGCAGGCATTTGATGGATTTTATTTTATTTTTACTGTTTTTAGGCTACCAAGCCAAGAATACAATACAAACAAACGCTATGACATGACTATGGCGGAATGAGCCCACGTAAGGCCCCTTTGTTTTTCACATGTAACTGATGTCCAACATTACAATTTTGTTTTTGAAATTATGCCTGATTTATCAGTAAAACATCGGACACAATTAGATATAGGGTAATTGAAAACGTTAAATAAATATATAGGGTAATTGAACCTACGATGTGGAAACTACCCTTAACAAAGCAAAGACTATGACATGACTACGACTATATGCCTCCAAATTCTTGCCAACGCCGCAACTGAACTTGTCATCATTGCACAACCATAGCTCACCCCAATAATGGACAACATCGAGAAATCCAACCACTTAAGTACATGTGTTCTAGAGAAAAAATGTCGTTGAATGGCCACAATAGTAGACCGGCGCTTACGGTGAACACTAGCGATCACTAAGCATCTCGGCAGATGGTCACCTCGATCTAGACACACAGTCGCTCTAGTATCGCGAGACCAAGGTGACGACTTTGCTGGCAAAGGCTCGGAGAAAGGGGTTGTCAAAGAAGATGATGGTGCCGCCGTCGATGCACATGGAATCACATCAATGATGACACAGATAACCAACCCGTTATCCCTCGAAAACAGCAAAGACAAAAACTCCGGGGCTCCTCAACGACGTTGCACCAACCGTCACCGTGATAGAACTTTTATTCAAGATGCCACCGCCATCACAGCCGAAGCGCTGTCACCTTGACCCAAAAAAACTACTACATAAAAGATGAGAGGAGAGGATCCCCCCCCCTCACCCCCTCTCTGCCTCACATCGCCTGAGAGATTGAAATTTTGGCGGCTAACGTCTCTCCACGGTAGTGCAGACTTGCGAGCCGGTTTTCTGCTTAGTTCCTGATAGAAATAATAATCCCTTATTAGTACCTTCATTTTTGTATTATTGAATTAAAATCGAGCGTGTCTAGATCTCGCTTATTGCAAGATCGAAGGCAAGGTCGCCTGAAGAGCCTCCCTAAATGGCTCGGCCGAGTGCAAGAAGGAGCGTCGACTCTCTTGCTAGCGCGTTCCCTTTTCCAGGCATCAACTACACCACAAGTTTTATTTATATTTCTGCAACTTTTTTCTTTTTCTTTTTTCTGCAAGTTTTTTATTTTCCTTTTTTATTACTTTCATTTTATTTCTAAAATTATATATATGGAATAAATATTTTAATTAGTTCAAAAAAATGTTCGTAAAATGTAAAAATGTCTTTCGCACTTTTTTAAATTTTCACACCATTTAGTAATATTTTGTAACATTTAAAATGTTAACTCTTTTGAAAAAATTGTTCATGACGTTTTAAATATTATGATGCAATCTAAAAATTGTGCACTTAATATTTTTTAAGTGGTACCATTAAAAAAATCTTCCTGGCGTTAAGAAAATATTGTTGTCTGCAACACATAAATTGTTCACATGTTTTGAAAAATGTTCATGAAAATGTAATGATGGTCAAACATGTATTAGAAAAAGTTCAACATGTATTAAAAAATGTTCAACATGTATATAAAAATGTTTAGTGTGTATCCAAAAGAACAAAATGCATTTGAAAAATTTGACATGTATTTGATAATGTATATATTTTTTAAAAATGTTCATCAAATATAAAAACATGTTCATGCAATTTTGGAAAATGTTCATAACATTAAAAAAATCATTCCTGTTGCACAAAAAAATAGAAAATAAGGAAAAGAAGAAGAAACGAAAAAGGAAAACCATCATAGGAAAATAAAGAACAAGAAAAAACAGACAAAACCTTCTGTTAGGTTTCTAAAATTGCTCTAGAGGGTTCCCTGAACCGCTTCAAAAATGCCTCAGTCTGTCAGGGCGTACCCCTAAAATGATTATTAAAAAGTTTGTGAAGAACATGCATGAAGAGGTTAACTTTTTTTTTCAAGGGTATGAAGAGGTCAGCTAAATAAGTTCTTGAAGTCAGATTCCTCGGCTGGGCTAGACGGCATCCACCACCACATGAACCCTCCGTGGCTGCTGCAATCTAGCTTCCTCTTATATCTTTCCCTTAAAAAAAGCTTCCTCTTATATCTTTCCCTTAAAAAAAGCTTCCTCTTCTCTCTCTTTAGAGAACACTAGCTAGTAGTGGAGACAGAGGTCTGGCCGACTCGGGGGCGAAACCCTAGTTTGCAGCAGACCCCCCTCCCTGTCTCCCTTCTCCTTCGCCGCCACCTGAGGTTACCGCCGGCCAATCCTGGTGCACCACCAAGGAAGGTGGCGGCGGGGCATCTGTTGCTCTGCTCTCTCACAGGGGGGGCAACGGGACCTGAGGCGGCGGCCTCGGTCGGAGTGGTGCCACCCGCTGTGCGGCGAGTAGTGGCGTGGGCGTGATGGTGGCGGCCCTGGCCGTGACGATGACGGAGCACCGGTGGGCATGGACTTGGCGTGGGACCGGCAGCCGGCGGCACAAGATCTGGACGCCCCCTTCCTTCCCCGACTCGGTGCGGTCCCCCCTTCAGATCTGGGTCTAGGTCTTGTTCTTTGATCTTCAACCTAAGTTATGTGGGTGGGATGGTGGTATGTGTTGTGTTTTGTGTCGAATATTGTGTACATGTTGGGTTATGTTTGGACTTGGAGTGTAGTGTGGGTAGGATTTGTAGTGCCAGAGTCGTACACGTTGTACCCTTGGCCTCTTATATATGTGGAGGCACCCCACGTTGTAACCTATGATGGCTAGATAGCGTCAGGCACGCAACGGGGAGCCAACGGCTTGTGTCGGCGCCCGGGTGGCCGGTGTCACGGTATCTCGGGGAGGAGCGCCCGTAGTCATTACCCCGGGGAGTAGGTGAGTTCACTGAACCTCGTTAACAAATCTCAGTGTCGTCATTGTGCTGTGATTGCTTGTTCCTCGGTGGATTGACTGTGCGCCTCAGATTTATTCTAACAGTATGGAGCCAGACCAGGAGAAATCCAATGGTTGGCCGCCATGACGGTTGCGCTCGAGGGCATTGTTCTTTCTCCTTGGAGGCGTTTGCCAGGTCAGCCTCCCTCCACACACCATCCTCTAGCCTCCCAGGTGAAACCCAAACCTCGGTGGGCCGCGGCGGCACTCTCGGGGTCGTTCTCCTTCTTGAAGGTGCTGCCTTTGGGAGCTGTTTGGATGGTGAGCGTCGTTTGGTGCGTTTGGCGGCGGTTGTTAGTGTGTCCTCTTCGTCCAAGCTTGATGTTATCCCTCCTCTGCGACCGAGCCGTGGGCAATTCTGTTTGAGGAAAACTTTGGCGGCTCGTCGGGAGTGCGTGGATCCTCGCTATGTGGCCATCCTTCGACGGCAACCATTCTCGTTCTAGGTGGAACATATCCATCTTCCGGCGGTGCGGCGCCTATCGAGTCAGGTGAGGAGGTTGTGGCCTCCTTCGGGATGGAATTGGATGGTTGTGCCGTGCGGGGGTCCGTAGCTGTCGGTGACCACACTCCCTGTGATGCCAGTCATCCCTTCTCCTCTGTGCCGCATGGTCCTAGTTCCCTGGTGCTTCGTTCTCGGAGGAGGGCCTTGTTGTCTTCAGTTGCCCGCTTCTTTGATCTATCCTTCTAACTTGTAGCATGTGAGGCTCTGTTAGCTGCTCGCCAACGTCTTCCTTTCTTTGGTTCTATGTGCTCTGTAATACTGACCGGTTGATGGCTTTATTAATTTAAAATCAGGCCAGGCTCGAGCCCCATCTTCGACTAGGTTGATGTCTTTTCTCTAACAGAAAGGAGGAAGAAGACTACAATGATAACCACTCTATGCTTATAACCAACAGTTTTTCTTTTCTTTCTGGTGAATGAACCTCAGATTATAAACATGTCCAATGATCCATATTTGTGGCCACTAGCCAAAATTTGGGTCGGTCGACCGGCGCCTAGCCCCAAATGACTAGGGGTAAAAAGCGCAAATAATCAGTTTTCTTAAAATATCTGGCCTAAACGAACGAGACGAGCAGCGAGGCAGCGCCCAATCAGAACCTCTTTCCAACCCCTCGTCGCCTCCCCGTCCTCCCTCTGCAACGACTTTTCTCCCCTCTTGTTCCAAGCCCAAATCGAGCCAAACCCCGACGCTCCAAATCGCCCAGCTCGGCGATCCGGGAGGATCTGCAAGAAGCCGAGACGCCGGCTCCACCGGAGCCCGGAGGGGAGGCGGGCAGGCGGCGGTGGCGGCGAGGCCGTCAGCGGCGGCTGGGGTGTCTGCGATGATAACCCGGTCGAAGCTGGTGGAGCAGCTGCGCGACTACCAGATCCGATCCCAGCACAAGTAAATTCCCCCGTCTAACCCGTTCACCCACCGAGAATCCCTCGCCAGGTTGCGGTGATTGACTAGTATATGCTCAGATCTTGGGGTCTCCCTGATTTTGGCCTCCTCTAATCATGTTAGGTTCGGATGCATGCCTAGTTGATTAAGGTGTGATGCGATTTACTCTGCCCTTGTAATTCAATCGTGTGGAGCGATTCACTTAGCGGCTTAGTCAGCTGTGAAATCGATGTTGCGGCTGCGTGTGTTGATGCCCGCAGGCATTTCTTTAGTTGGTAACCTAGATCCAGCAAAAAGCATTGTACACCAGTTGTTAGAACAACAATGCCTGTTATCTAGCGATCCTTGTCAAGATCTTTGCCATGGCCCTTTTAAGTCAGTGTTAGTGTTTTTTTTTTCCTCATGAATGCCGCAATTGCACGTGTAGAGAGGAGTGTGCACTGCCCTGCTTTCACCATATCAAAACCTGCCTGCATGTGTACTCCAATTTCTGAAGAGTCGTGCTTTACTAATTTTCACCTGTGGGTGACCAGTTAGTGGTTGCCTGGTTTGAGGAACCGGATGGTGAATGGACCATCAAATCCTAGGTCCATTGTTTGGTCTGAGGAATTGAATGTGTTAGTGCATTTACTCTTCCTTCATAAGCATAAAACCAAGTACAAAATGAAGGATTGCGTCTCTGTTAAATTTGATAGACCAACCATTGATGGATCAAGCGGGTTCCTCAACAAGACACTCCACTTGTGCCTTCACATGCTATTCACCTATATCCATCTCAGCTCTCAAATGCATCATTCGAAAGAGTTTCATATCTCTTAGGCGGTTGTTATGGCAAACTACGTGCTTGATGTTTCCTGAATGTAAATGTTGTACCTATGTTCGTCTCGAATGCATCATTCAGAAGAGTTTCATATCTCTTAGGCGATTGTTATGGCAAACTACTTGATTGATGTTTCCAGAATGTATTGAACGATGCTAGCTGACCAGTTTATCTTGTTATGACGAGTTTCATGCCGCATTAAAAGGCTGGTAATTCTCTTCAGATAAATCATGCAACTTTGTGGTGTGATGTGTTATTCTCCTGTATTGATCTGAAATGATTTCCTCTCGCTGTTAGTCCTCTCTCAGATATGATTGCCTCTTTTTATGATCTGATCTGAACATGGTTCTGCTTTCTGAACTTCTGCAGGCGCGACATTATCGGAGCTATCTCATGGGGCTTGCTGTGCTGTCTCCTAATAGTATCCTCATACATGATGCTATACTTCAGGCACTTCTGGTTATCAGCCGTCATCATCTCCGTCGGCATTCTTCTCCCCGCCGGCCTGTATATTTTGAGGCAGAGGAAGCTGGCTAAGAAAAGAGAGCGGAGATTATTGTTGCCTCTCTCCATGTAAGGTTATCATTACATTGTAGTGGTAGGTTCCCCTGATTTTGCGGTTATTCTTGACTAGACAGAATCCGCATTCCGGGCTTGCTTGGCACACATCCAAACAGTTGATAGGCCTCTGCTGCCTAGTATACGTCCATATTCTTTAGTCTTCACTAAAGTGCTGGAAGAAGTACACCATCAATTTTTGAGGCTCCAGTGTTGTGCGAATGAATACACTAGCTTGTGTGTTTCTGCTGCAGTTTGTTTTCCTCTTCTTCTTCTTTTTCTTTTAATGGTGCTTGCAGCCTGACAAGGTATCTTGATGTATCCGACCGCCCCGAGTCACACTTTTGTAACTAAAGAAGAATAGATTGTTTTGTTGTTCTGATGGAATTTGTGAGCTTCATGTCCTCTCCGGCCACTCTCAGTCAGTCGGTCCAGTTGGTTCCTGGATCGAAGTTATGACACTGGATGTGGTGCTTTCACAGAATCATGTCTGCACAAATCATATATCGAGCACTGTAGTGCTCCTGAAATTCCTGTTTGTGCCTGTAATCTTTTGCAACATATGCTGCTTGATATGGGATCTGGCAATTATGTTCAGAGATGCAAAAGAAAACAATTCAGATGCAACTTATTTGCAAGTCCTTCCTAGCAAAGAAACTTGATGGTAAATTGGCAATTATGTTCAGAGATGCAAAAGAAAATTTTCTAGAGTAAGTAGTAGCAAGGCTTGTTAGATTCGTTGCAAATGCAAGAGATGGAAGTTATGACACTGGATGTGGTGCTTTCACAGAATCATGTCTGCACAAATCATATATCGAGCACTGTAGTGCTCCTGAAATTCCTGTTTGTGCCTGTAATCTTTTGCAACATATGCTGCTTGATATGGGATCTGGCAATTATGTTCAGAGATGCAAAAGAAAACAATTCAGATGCAACTTATTTGCAAGTCCTTCCTAGCAAAGAAACTTGATGGTAAATTGGCAATTATGTTCAGAGATGCAAAAGAAAATTTTCTAGAGTAAGTAGTAGCAAGGCTTGTTAGATTCGTTGCAAATGCAAGAGATGGAAAAAAAGAATCGCGCCAGGTAGGGGTCGAACCTACGGCCTTCCGCTTAGGAAACGGACGCTCTATCCACTGAGCTACAGGCGCTTCATGTCTTGCCTGCCAGGTACAATTTCCATATTCCTACTTTTCTTACTGTGAAGCGCTTTCTTGCGTTGCCGGTACAGGTTATGAGGATGTCTGTTTCGTTTTTTCCCTTGGTGGCAGCTGAATAAGTGTGGGATACGTTTTTTGCAGGTCAAAAAGCTTGTAGAGTGTTACTCAACTCGTAGAATTACAATCATCAACAGTTAGCTGGACAGTTTCCTCAGGACCAGAACCCAACCAAGTCATGGTTCTGCCTTTGATACGAGCACTGTCACTAACCTTATTTTGAACATGCATTATCTTTTATCTCTCTTTCAGTATACACAAGCAAGCAACCATCTATTCTACTCCCTCCGTTTTTGAATACAAGCCTTCTTAGAGATTTTAATACAAACTATATACAAATGTATATAGACGTATTTTAGAGAGTGAAAGTAGAGTCATTTACCATATTGGAATCTGTAAAAGGGCCTATATTTAGGAACGGATGGACTAGCAAAACCATAATTATTATGATTACCAAATCAGGCTTCTTTGCTAGAAAAGGAACATTTGGTAATCATAATATTTATTAAGCGTGTTGTCGTAAAGAAGCTTGATAAATATTATGATTACGTGTTGTCGTAAATGTCACGTTGCCGAGATGGAGAGGGATCAACCGACCAGCAAGAACACCATAATTATTATGATTACAAAATGTTCCACCGCACGCGGAGGCAAAAGGATCAATCTGTTCTTGTTCTTCTCAACATCTCTACGGCCTGATATCAGCTGGTTCGCCTGCAGCCTGACGAGCGCTTCAGTAAACCTGATCCTTTACATTTTGTCTTTCCTTATGCCAGTCCAGCCTCATTCACTCTGCTCCTCTTTGCTTTTTCCTTCCGGAGGTCAAGGAATAATCTCTCATACGAAAGAGGAGGGCAACTGTTTACCACATGGTATGTGTCATATGTGGTAAGCAATTTCATACTTGAAATGATGCAGTTGAGTTATGAGGCTTTATTTAAGTGGTGATCTAGATAATAGAGAATAGAAGTAGATGAAAAATATATAATCAAAAAAAAAAGGAGAGCAACTAAACGAGTCCACGAAATATAAACGACAAGCTGAAAAAGTAGTCATCAAAGGTCCTATGGTCTAGTGGTCAGGACATTGGACTCTGAATCCAGTAACCCGAGTTCAAGTCTCGGTAGGACCTCTTTTTTCATTTAATTTTTGTTTTGTACTTAACATATGGAGTTCCCTAGTTTTCTCAAGGAAAGAGCTATATACCATATCTTTAATTAAAGACAATTCCTCGTTTTTCTCTTCTCTATAGAGTCTGTAAGTACTAGATTTCATATTCTTTTTTAATGGGAAAATCTATATACTCCATCCGTTTTAGAATATAAGGTGTATTGACTTTCATGTAAGTCGACAATTTAAATGTTTGATCAAGATTATAGAATAAAATAACAACATCTGGACTATATATCATATCTTTAATTAATGACAATTCCTCGTTTTTGTCTTCTCTATAGGGTTTGTAAAGGCATTTCTAACCGATGCCTTAACCGGTAAAATTTACGTTCTACTCCTTTAACCGACATCTAGCTGATCCGTTATCCGCCGTAAGGGAGTAAAATTTTACCCATCTCCCCAATCCTCTCCCTAAATTTACTTTTGTTTTGTACTTAACATATGGAGTTCCCTAGTTTTCTCAAGGAAAGAGCTATATACCATATCTTTAATTAAAGACAATTCCTCGTTTTTCTCTTCTCTATGGAGTCTGTAAGTACTAGATTTCATATTCTTTTTTAATGGGAAAAATCTATATACTCCATCCGTTTTAGAATATAAGGTGTATTGACTTTCATGTAAGTCGACAATTTAAATGTTTGATCAAGATTATAGAATAAAATAACAACATCTGGACTATATATCATATCTTTAATTAATGACAATTCCTCGTTTTTGTCTTCTCTATAGGGTTTGTAAAGGCATTTCTAACCGATGCCTTAACCGGTAAAATTTACGTTCTACTCCTTTAACCGACATCTAGCTGATCCGTTATCCGCCGTAAGGGAGTAAAATTTTACCCATCTCCCCAATCCTCTCCCTAAATTTACTTTTGTTTTGTACTTAACATATGGAGTTCCCTAGTTTTCTCAAGGAAAGAGCTATATACCATATCTTTAATTAAAGACAATTCCTCGTTTTTCTCTTCTCTATGGAGTCTGTAAGTACTAGATTTCATATTCTTTTTTAATGGGAAAAATCTATATACTCCATCCGTTTTAGAATATAAGGTGTATTGACTTTCATGTAAGTCGACAATTTAAATGTTTGATCAAGATTATAGAATAAAATAACAACATCTGGACTATATATCATATCTTTAATTAATGACAATTCCTCGTTTTTGTCTTCTCTATAGGGTTTGTAAAGGCATTTCTAACCGATGCCTTAACCGGTAAAATTTACGTTCTACTCCTTTAACCGACATCTAGCTGATCCGTTATCCGCCGTAAGGGAGTAAAATTTTACCCATCTCCCCAATCCTCTCCCTAAATTTACTCCGCCGATTGGCGGCCGAGTAACAGTCGGGTCGCTTACTCGCATCGCCCCCCCCTCCCGCGGCTGCACTTTCGCCGGTGCGACTCCCGGCGCCTCCCCGTAGCTACTTCGTTGCCTCCATTGCCCTCCGCCACCCTTCTGCCCGACGTCCATCCCTTTCTGCCCCCGCCCTTGTCGCTGGAATTAGGTGAACCACCGCCGTCGTCGCCATTGTTGTTGATTCGTCGGATTGCTTCTTTTCTTCTTCTTTTTCTGTCGGCCGCCGCATCTCACATTGAGTGCACACCGCCGCTACTTCGTTGCCTTCACATTTTTGGCCGCATACACATCAACCGTGATAGAGCAGAGGGTCATGCAAAGATCATGAGAGACTACTTTGACACAAAGCCAACCTATCTGAAGAAGTACATTCGCCGGCGCTTTTGGATGCACACAAGTCTTTTTCTCACCATTTGCAAAAGTTCTTGAGAGATAAAATAACAACATCTGGACTATATATATATATATATATATATATATATATATATATATATATATATATATATATATATATCATATCTTTAATTAATGACAATTCCTCGTTTTTGTCTTCTCTATAGGGTTTGTAAGGGCATTACTAACCGATGCCTTAACCGGTTAGAGGAGTAAAATTTATGTTCTACTCCTTTAACCGACATCTAGCTGATCCGTTATCCGTCGTAGGGGAGTAAAATTTTACCCATCTCCCCAATCCTCTCCCTAAATTTACTCCGCCAATTGGCGGCCGAGTAACAGTCGCGTCGCTTACTCGCGTCGCCCCCCGCAGTTGCACTTTCGCCGATGCGACTCCCGACGCCCTCTCGTAGGCCTCGCCGCTACTTCGTTGCCTCCACTGCCCTCCGCCGCCCTTCTGCCCAACGTCCATCCCTTTCTGCCCCTGCCCCCGTCGCTGGAATTAGGTGAACCATCGTCGTCGTCGCCATTGTTGTTGATTCGTCGGATTGCTTCTTTTCTTCTTCTTTTTCTGTCGGCCGCCGCATCTCACATTGATTGCACACCGTTGTAGGTCATTCTCTCTCGTCGTTGCCGGCCTGTTTGGTCAGAACAACACCGGTCGGCTGTTGCACCACCACCGGACTGCAAGTGTTCGACGAATTGGCTAGGTGAGTTTTTTTATCGTGTCTTTGTGAACCGAGCCATTTGGATTGAACCAAGCCGTTTGAATTGTAGATGAAGAGGTTGATGGAGATGGCTTTAGAGGACTCGTCGTTATCCGAAGAGGAAGAAGACGACGATGACTTTGACACTGTTTTAGGCATCATTTTCAATGATGA